TACCGCTGTGCCACTGGGTGGCAAGTAGTTTAGAGCTAAATATAACAAAGAAATAAGAAGAATATATATATAAATACGTTCTTTTTACTCAGTCACTTCTAAATTAGGAAAGACTAGCACAAATAGCTCTCGGGACACTATCCGCATCTACTTTTACCACCGAAAATTGGGACTTACCGTCACATTATAACGCCCAAAAGGCTGAAAGGGCGAGCATATTTGGTGACGAGATTTGAACCCGCCCTAAACATCAGACCATGCCAGGTAATGATGAATTCAGAAATCTTGTCGAAGTTATTAATCTTCAAAATTGTCATTATTGATCCATGACCCTAACGAAATAAAGGATATTGAAGTAGAAAAAACTTTTTTGTTTTCAGTTAACTAACATTAATGTCATGATAAGCCTAAAGAACCAACTTTAATGGACAGTTCTGTAATTTTAAAAAGAAATGTATTTTCAGGAATAGGAATAGTTCTTTCCTTGAAGAACTTTTTCATCTTAAGAGAAGATAATTTATTCAGAATGAGGACAGTTCTATAAATAAAAAAGTTATTATTCTGATGGTTATTATTTCTGAGCTTTATTTTGTTTGTATAAAAAAGGGAAGAACTTTTGTGTTCTGATCAATAATAAAACAATAGTTACAACCATTTTATTGCTGTATAAAAAAGGGAAGAACTTTTGTGTTCTGATCAGTAATAAAACAATAGTTACAACCATCTTATTGCTGTATAAAAAAGGGAAGAACTTTTGTGTTCTGATCAGTAATAAAACAATAGTTACAACCATCTTATTGCTGTATAAAAAAGGGAAGAACTTTTGTGTTCTGATCAATAATAAAACAATAGTTACAACCATCTTATTGCTGTACTTGTTTTCAATCACGTGAGGTTTTCTAGCTAACTTAGATCCTAATAATAAAAGGAAACTTAATGATCTCCACTATAATGAAAGTTTTAGAAACGATATATTCTCTTGCTTATATTTACTACACTAAATAATTAAGAATTTATATTCCCTAAATTATTTAATCAATATTTTCAATCTTTGCAGGTTCATCAATCTTGATATAAACAATATCAAGGGCGTAGCTTGGATCGCCACTTTGTTTATTAACGTGGGTTTGTTTGTTTATAATTGCTTTTTCAGCAAATATAATTAGAAAGAGCACTACACTCCTTGATAGCCCATGTTCTTAGACCTGCATTATCGGTTATGCAACTCATTCAGGGATGCAAAACTGTCTTTTGTAAAGTCGTACTGATTAAATCATTAATCCATGAAGCTCACACGAGATCAAAAACGCGGCATAATTTCATAAGCAAATAAAATATCAAATGTCCATCAACCTCAAGATATACTACCAAACCTTCTTACTACATGTATCCTTTTGGAATATCAACTATCTTGGACCTTAACGTTAAAATATATTTCCTTTCAGGTTATTTCTTGCTTCTGTTCGAGAGAGACTTTGAAACAGAGTCGAACCAAAAAAATCCAATTTTCAGTTTTCTGTACTATTCGTTTTTCTTTTCGTGGGGTGTTCACGTATTCACAAGACAACAAGTCTTCTAACTTGACCTTAGTAATCAAGGCAAAGTGCTTTTATTGCTAAGTCAAATTCTTTACCTTACAAACACTTAAAGAATTGCAATTAAACAAAACACGCTGTGCATTTTTTAATGAATTAATATAATCCACGCTTTTATTATGAAAAACGAGAGCTAAATGAAGCAAACATTCAGCAAGCTAGTTCTGTTTATCCCGGTTGCATGGAAGGTTAATTTACTAATAAAATACAAATGTTAATTTCGTGTGGGTTACTGTCCAATTCAGAAATCATAAAAGGTCGAATAATGAGGTATATATATATATATATATATATCTAAACATATACACACAGGGAAGTTCAGTTTTACTGTTTACATTTTTTATTGAATTATGACACTTGTTTCATAACATTGACGTTAACAACTTCATATTTCATGAGAATATTATTAACTACAATTCATTTTAACTTAATTCATGAAATATTATAGTACGTTCGTAGTTATATGTCACAACCCTGGTGGAGTTGTGGTTTATTGACAACAAAAGTTGGCTTGTCCTTCATCAAAAACATTCAGACAAATGTTTGGCGTTTAGGTATTCAAATAATATCCTGTTGGGTAGTGACTAACGATAAACATAAGATTTGAAATTCGTTGAGGCCTAATTAATAGAAAAATTATAAAAACATCTCTATTTAAACAGGATTTTTTATCAAATATGTTCGGCCTAATAGGTGTCATTATTCATTTTAAACTTCGTTTTTTCACTTCATTTAATTTTTTAAGTCAACAAGATTGAAAGTTTAATTGATTTAGTTTTTAGAAACATATATTAAAAATCAGTACCAATTTTCTATGAATTAAGTCATGCGGAAAGCTAAATCTGTAAATGAATTATTGTAAAATTTGGATGAACGAAAGGATGTGCCTCTTATGTGGGCAATCATATCTCGAAATGTTTCTATTTTATTGTTGTGTTTGAAATTATTGTATTCTGGGCAGAAAAAAAATTCGTTATACAATACTCAATTTTTAGCTAAAGTAAATAAGCAACAAAACACATAACACAAAAGGAAGCATAAACCTACAAACCTAACTACATTATATTGAAACAATGGTAGGTGTAATAAAAACATGCACTTAAATTACTTCAGTCACGAAGTGTAAGCGCAATAAACTCTGTACCTCACATAAATTAGGTCCCTCAGAAAACATAATTGTTCAGTCATCTAACTTGCACTTTATCAAATTGAATAATAAATAAATTAGATTTGTCAAACGTACAAGTTGTAAGAAATACTTCGTACTTTTTTTTTACACTTTAGTTATTTTTGCTTTAATGGAAGAGAAACGTTAAAGATGCCGTAATCAATCTTCTTAGATCTAAAAAGTCACAAGTCGTAAGAAGTTCTTAGTACTTTTTTTACATTTATTTTTGCTTTGATGGAAGAGAAGGGTTAAAGATGCCGTAATCAGTCTTCTTGTTTCAAAAATCCCAAGTCTCTAATTGGCTTTTCAACACGAATGTCTTTCTTCAGTTTCTTACATCATTGACTCGAACTAAGCATTTGTTGATCGTCTCCGTGTACGGGTGTTCACGTGGATTTATCTAATACGCCTCATGAAACAGACCAATAACTAAAATATTCAGTGTCATCTCTGGGTAGAGACACATACGACGCGAAACCGGTTAAAACGCTGTATTAAGTTCAATACAAGATTATATTTCTTCACTTATATTAAACTATAGATAGATAAAGCTATTTTTTGAAGAACCTTTAACACATATTTTCATTCAAGACATATATTCAAGAACTGCACGGTCTATTTACAGAATAATAGAAAAATTTAGTTAGTTTAAGAGCCTGTTTTTCAGAAATTATCAGATGTTCCTTTTTTTATTGTTTGTGGTTTTTTCATAAGCAAAACTCTCCATACTGCTAACATGTTTATATGATCATTTCTATATATATTAATCAAGCCTTTTATTGTTAGTAATAGATAATAGTAGGACTTATTCTTTCGGTTTTTCTAGTTTTTTAGTATTACGGAGACATTTATGTTAAAAAAAAAGTCTTACCGGTAAGGTTAATCTTTCCAACTTAATTAAAGAAGTAAAGAATAAAAATTCGTACACGTTATATTCAAAATAGCCGTCAAACACTGCCAAGTTGTGCACATGACAGAAATTCCTATTATAAAAAAAGTTAGCAAAATTTGTCTAAAAAACATACACACAAACAACTGGAAAAATCTTGATTGTGTTCACGTGTGATTAGCCCATTAAAGTGTTGCATTACTGAATACACAATTACATTATGATCCAATTTTTGTACTACAAATTAATGTATAAATAGTGATACCATGTAATATTCATATGTTACCAAGTGTTCTCATATTCTATAACAAAGTGTGAAACAAAATGTTTCCATTACACATTATCAAAAGTTTTGGAAAATACACCTTCGTGCTGGTAGGTAACAGAATCACAGATAACTGTTAGAGAAATAACAAAGTGTTATTTTATTTATTTGGGGTAAGGTGTGAAATGTAAGATAAACATGAACATATAAGTAAGTTAGTATTCAAGATACCGAGCAGAAATAAAGTAATTATTCATAATCTCATGTATCGTTCGTAAGTAAATGTGTACTCTGTTCTTTCCAGAGTGTGTCCGTTTCTGTATCAGTCTTAACCCTGACTTTCATTTCTCTGGATCGGTGGTACGCTATCTGTTTTCCTCTTCGCTTTAAAAGTACCACAGCACGTGCTAAGACCGTAATCTTACTTATCTGGATCGGCTCTTTCCTTCTTGTCCTTCCGGACGTCATTGTACTTGAAACCCGGCCTAATCCAAACCTTCAAGTCGACACGCATTACTTAATGGATTGCACGTACACATGGGACCAGTTCTACACCCGCATTTACCAACTGTACATCGTGGGTACCCTTTATGTGGCACCTTTCCTGCTCATGACCGTGACCTATTTCCAAATTGCTCGAGTTTTGTGGAACAAGAACATACCTGGGTCCGCTGAGGCAGAAGGAACTCGTCAACAAAGTCGATCAGGTACTTTAGTACATATTACAGGAATTGGCATATAACATTCTGAGTATTTCTTACTTCAACACATAGTTTCTGAATGCTAAAATTGGGTACTTACTAGTCGTAAAAATATGTAGGAAATCATTTTGCTTCTCAACGAAGTTGATAAGTTTGCCTGCATTGTACTGAATTTTATGTTACATTAATAAAGACCGAATAACTAGTTGTTACAATGCATCAAAAAAATTCTAAGACTCTTAAGTACTTTCAACAATATAGAACACTAATTTTAAAAAAAGATTTCTACCGCCTGCCACTCGAAAAATAATCAAACTAAGAAAGAAAAAATAATAAATATTTATAATAATAAAGGTTGTCTAAACTGTTTTAGAGTGGAGAAAGTAAAATACTCAAAACACATACCAATGAGTTTGTAGTTTAAGCGGATATTCACCAATGTACTTAAACTTCATGTATGGGTTTAAACTTCACATTTCCTGATACCTGTCAAAAATATAAGGAAAGGAAAGTAAAGGCAAACAGCAATGAGTTAAATATGATTTTTGTTGTTCAAGTGCCGTAGCTTCATAGATTTTTGTTAAACAAGTGTGACGCGGGAAAAAACGTTTCCTAGAATCAGGTTTAAGTCTTCAGCGTTAACTTTCCTTTTAATTATTTTCTTAAAACCACAAACTTGACAGCTCCATGCTATACGGACAGAAGCAATTTCTGTCTTAGGTTAATTTCGCACGTACAGCAGCGAGAAGAAGCATCACGTGTCACATTTGATAATAATCTTAGGAGTATTTATAGAGTTCTCTCTTAGTGCCTCGCAATAAAGACTGGCATTTAATGGTTCAATGGAATAAGAATATAGTGTTCATGAAAATGCAAATATGTAATGCTCTTATATAGTCTAAGACAAAGTTGATTTCTTAATTGAAGTACATCTGGTTTGGAATATTTAGAGTTGTTTATGATAACTGTATGGATATTCTACCCGACTGTGAATTAGCCGAAAAGGAAGAAATCTATCAGTAAAATAACATGACAGTATGGTAATAAAAGACATCGAAAGGACTTGGAACGGTTCAGCTTATCGTTAATCTTAATAAAAACAATATAATAATTTGAAACTTAACGCTATATTTGTTTTAAGTAGTTTACATTAACACAGCTCATTAGCTTTTCAGCACACAAAGTGAAGTATGTATTATAGTATTTTGAATTAAATTTCAGTATAAAACAGATCTCGTTTATTTATGGCATATTATGGAAATGGGATGACTAAGTTTTCTTCCATATTTTGCTGTTTATAACACCACTAATTCCATTCAACTTTTACCTTTTATCGTATACAGATTAGAAATCTTGGGTCAGAATAACGTTACCGTCGCTTTAATTGTTTACTCTAGAAAAGCTTTTAAAGAATTCCCATTTTGTATTATTTTTCAACACTTTTCTCAAGCGCAAGAAAATTGGTGTATTTTAAGTTTTTCCAGTTAATCATTCAAACAGTGTCCTATACAATCGTACGGATAAACAAACCAATAATTAAAAACACGGGGATAAAGAGAATGAGCTAGTAAACAAGTAATTATATAGATAAATAGTTTATCCCCAAAGCTGGATGCTGTGTGAGTCCTGTGTTTCAGAAACCGACATTGTATTTTCTACATCAGTTGTTTTGTTTATGGCGTAGACGTTCGAAAGTATTTTTAAGATATCAGCTAAAACAAGGTGTTGATCCATTACATACTCTTAACTTTATATACTGACATTAGCGTAACTATTGTGCATTATTTTTTCGCTCTTAGTCCTTCATTATTAACATGTTTTTGTTGTTGTTTTTTTGCATTTCTTATGGGCTGTTTAACTATAATACACAACGTTTATATATTGAGTTTAAATATGTTATTGTATCATCTATAATTGTAGTCTCGCTACATACAGTGCTAGTCTTACATTTACGTACACTCTTTTTTTCTAAGCATATTACATGTATTTTGGTGCAGGTCCATGCGTAGCTCATAGTTAGCGTACACAGATTGTGAATCCTATGTTTCAAGTTCACGATCACTTGCCGTACAAATGTTTTCCGTACTTTGGGGTCATGAACATGCTATAACAGACAAATTCCACTCATTAAAGAAGTGAAATCAAGAGTTGAAGATAAACGCTGTTGACTAGTTGTCATCCTTCTAGTCTATCAATTCGAAATTATGGATGGCTATGAATAGACAGCCCTTCTGTACCTTTCCGCAAAATTACAAAATAAACAAATAAAATAGGGTCATTGTAGTTTTATTTAATTGTTTTTGGATCTAAATTTCTGAAAACACCTTTTTATGCCCCCCCCCCAGTGGCACAGTGGTATATCTGCGGACTTACAACGCTAGAATCAGGGTTTCGATACCCGTGGTGGGCAGAGTACAGATAGCCCATTGTGTAGCTTTGTGCTCAGTTTACGAACAAACACCTTTTTTATATGTTTTATCACTAGCCACACGT